TGGTAATTTTTAGTGTGTTCTTAACCTTATTACAAGCTATGACAGCATATCAGCGAGGGCAATGTACTTGATAGTCTGTAGCTGAGTCATAGCTCAATGTGTTTTATTATTAATTTGCAATTTCTTTTTCTTTTTTGTACTGCATGTCAAGGAGTTTTGATTTTTATTTTGACATCTTTCACAGTGATAAAAATTATACGTAATATTTTCACCACACTAGCTCGGAAAGGCTTTCTTTCTCATTAGAAATCTGCGCGCAAAAGTGTTTTTGAAATTAGAACTTGAAGATGGACTGTAGTGCACCTACCTTTTTCTTTCGATGAAAAAAAAACATAATGACACGTTTAACTACGCGATTTATATAATATAAATCCGTTGGTATATTTTATTCTTATTATTGTTGACATTAAATGGACAATGACGACTAACTACATATATGATTTCATATAGTTTAACTGTTTTTCTTTCATCTACCATTTTCCTCGCTATAGTAAGGTGAAAAATTGTGTGTTTCGCTCGGCAGCAAAGTTGTTTTACATCTCTTGCCTGGAAGCCCTACGCTCAGATTTTATTTTTGAACCTCAATCAATCTTAGGCTCCTTCTCTTGCTCTTTTCAATACAAGCAGTCGCGTCAAACAACAACTTTGCAGCCGTGCATAATAATAAATAATAATAATAATAGTAATAGTAACAACACCAGCACCGGCACCGGCACCGGCACCGGCACCGGCACCGGCACCGGCACCAGCACCCGCACCAGCACCAGCACCAGCACCAGCACCAGCTCCAGCATCAGCACCAGCACCGATAACTATAAATACAACGACAACTACAACGACAACGACAACGACAACGACAACGACAACGACAACGACAACGATAATGATAACAATGATAATGAGAATGAGAATGACAATGAAAATGACAATAAGAGGCGAGAGTCTAAAATAAATATAACAACAACAACAACAACAACAACGACGACGACGAACACGACGACGACGACGACGATGACAAACAACAAGAGCAAAAAGAACAAGAACAAGAACAAGAACAAGAACAAGAACAAGAACAAGAA